GGCTGGAGTGCAGTGGCACTATCTCGGCTCACTGCAACCTCTGCCTCCCAGGTTCAAGCGATTCTCCTGCCTCAGCCTCCCGAGTAGCTGGGATTACAGGCATGCACCACCATACCTGGCTAATTTTTGTGTTTTTCATAGAGATGGTTTCACCATGTTGACCAGGCTGGTCTTGAACTCCTGAGCTCAGGTGATCTGCCTGCCTGGATCGGCCAAACTGTTGGGATTGCAGGCGTGAGCCACCACACCTGGACAGCTCTTGCAGTTTCAAGGATATGGATTTCCACATTTCAGCTTCCATTTTACTCTTCCCTGAAACTAGTTGGCTTGGGAACAAGTTTGACTATGTAATGGTCCTCCTTCTATTTCTCCTTGTATATTTCACAAGAGAAAAATATACCTTTCTGGCATCCTAATTCAAACTATGGCTCATTGCTCCAGGGTGGTAAAAATCTCTTTGAACTTAAGAGAAGGATATATAAACATATTTGTTTCGGGGAAAACTTTTTAAAAAGTAAGGCATTTTTGTCCATTGACAGGTGAATGGATAAACAAAATGTGACATATACACACAAAGCAATATTTTTCAGCCCAAAAACAGAAGGAAATTCTCGCAACATGGATGAACATTGGCTAAGAGCGATAAGCCGGTAACAAAAAGACAAACATTGCATTATTTCCCTGACATAAAGTACTTAGAGCAGTCAAAATCACAGTCAGAAAGTAGAATGGTGGTTGCCAGGGGCTAGAGAGAGGAGAGAATGAGGAGTTATTGTTTATTGGTACAGAGTTTCAGTTTTGCAAGATGAAGAGTTTTGAAGACGAATGATAGTGATGGTTGCACAGGAATGTGAACATACTTAATATCATTGAACTATACATCCCCAAAAAATGGTTCAAATAGTACAAAGGGAAAAAAAGTAGTCAAGGCTTTCTAAACCCAAGAGGTTCTTGTCTAATATGCATTTCTTTTTTTTTTCAGACAGAGTCTCGTTCTGTCGCCCAGGCTGGAGTGCAGTGGCAGGATCTTACTCACTGCAACCTCTGTCTCCTGGGTTCAAGCTATTCTCCTGCCTCAGCCTCCCGAGTAACTAGGTTCACAGACATGTGCCATCACACCTGGCTTTTGTATTTTTAGTAGAGACAAAGTTTCATCACGTAGGCCAGGCTGGTCTTAGAATTCCTGACCTCAGCTGATCTAGGGCTCCTAAAGTGCTGGGATTACGGGCATAAGCCACTGTGCCTGACCTCTAATACACATTTATATCAAGGGCTTTAGAAATAGATACTTGAAGGCCAGGCACGGTGGCTCATGCCTGTGATCCCAGCACTTTGGGAGGCCAAAGGGGGCAGATCACCTAAGGTCAGGAGTTCGAGACCAGCCTGGCCAACATGGTGAAACCCCATCCCTACTAAAAAGGTGAAAAAAAACAGCTGGGCCAGGCGCGGTGGCTCACGCCTGTAATCCCAGCACTTTGGGAGGCCGAGGCAGGTGGATCACGAGGTCAGGAGATCGAGACCGTCCTGGCTAACAAGGTGAAACCCCGTCTCTACTAAAAACACAAAAAAATTAGCCAGGTGTGGTGGCAGGTGCCTGTAATCCCAGCTACTCAGGAGGCTGAGGCAGGAGAATGGCGTGAACCCAGGAGGCGGAGCTTGCAGTGAGTCAAGATCCTGCCACTGCACTCCAACCTGGGCAACAGAGCAAGACTCCATCTCAAAAAAAAAAAAAAAAAAAATTAGCTGGGTGTGGTGGCAGGCACATGTAATCCCAGCTACTCTGGAGGTTGAGGCAGGAGAATCACTTGAACCCAGGAGGTGGAGGTTACAGAGAGCCAAGATAGCACCATTGCACTCCAGCCTGGACAACAAAAGTGAAACTCCATCTCGAAAACAACAACAAAAAAGATACTTGAAAGCCTGTATTGAGATGCTCTAGAATCACAACAGCTGAAGCAGTATGAATGATTTAAAACGTAAATGCCAGGTCAGGTGCAGTGGCTCATGTGAGTAACAGCACTTTGGGAGGCTGAGGCGGGCAGACAGCTTGTTGAGGACCAGCCTGGGCAACATGGTGAAACCACATCTCTACAAAACCATACAAAAATTAGCTGGGCGTGGTGGGGCATGCCTGTAGTCTCAGCTGCGTGAGAGGCTGAGTCAGGAGAATCTCTTGAACCCAGGAGGCGGAGGGTATGGTGAGCTGAGATCGTGCCATTGCACTCCAGCCTGGGCAACAAGAGCAAAACTCCGTCTCAAAAATGAATAAAACAAAATAAAATAAAAAGAGAAAACTTTACACAACGTTTTTTTCCCCCCTGGGACAGGGTCATTTCTCTGTCATTTTTCATCTTGTCGTCCAGGATGGAGTGCAGAGGCCTGATCTCGGCTCATTGCCACCTCTGCTTCCCCACTTCAAGCGATTCTCCTGCCTCAGCCTCCCAAGTAGCTGGGTTTACAAGCATGGCCACCATACCTGGCTAATTTTTGTATTTTTAGTAGAGATGGGGTTTCACCATGCTGGCCAGGCTGGTCTTGTACTCCTGACCTCAAGTGATCCACCCACCTTGGCCTTCCAAAGTGCTGGAATTACAGGCATGAGTCACCATACCAGGCAGGAACTTTATACAGCATTTTAAAGATTTTCTGTGCTTTTTTAAAAATGTCAAATAAAATGAAGTATTTACTCCAATTGCAGTCAAACTTTGATTAATTCCATCTTGTAAAAGTTGAATATTTTCTATTATTTTTTCTTTTCTCAAATTATTTTTCATTTCTTATTAATTTTTTATTTTCTTTTTAAAAATTATTTTATTTCTTACTGATTTTTAAAAACCCCTTTTTAAATTTACATTGAAAAAGTTGGCCAGGCATGGTGGCTCACACCTGTAATCCCAACACTTTGGGAGGCCGGGCAGGTGGATCACGAGATCAGGAGTGCCAGACCAGCCCGGCCAATATGGTGAAACCCCTCTCTACTAAAAATACAAAAATTAGCCGGGTGCAGTGGTGCACACCTGTAGCCCCAGCTACTTCGGAGGTTGAGGCAGGAGAATCGCTTGAATCCGGGAGGCGGAGGTTACAGTGAGCCAAGATCGCGCCACTGCACTCCAGCCTAGGTGACAGAGTGAGACTCCGTCTCAAAAAAATAAAAATAAATAAATAAATATAAATAAAAGTTTCTGGCCAGGCGCCGTGGCCAACATAGCGAAACTCCGTCTCTACTAAAAATACAAAAAATTAGGCGGGCATAGTGGCGGGCGTCTGTAATCCCAGCTACCCAGAAGGCTGAGGCAGGAGAATTGCTTGAACCCAGGAGGCAGAGGTTGCAGTGAGCCAAGATTGCGCCGTTGCACTCCAGCCTGGGTGACAAGAGCGAAATTCTGCCTCAAAAAAAAAAAAAAAAAAAAAGAAAGAAAGAAAGAAAAGAAAAAGTTTCTGTGGCAGGGCACAGTGGCTCATGCCTACAATCCCAACACTTTGGGAGGCTGAGGAGGGAGAATCACTTGAGTCTAGGAGTTTTGAGACCAGCCTGGGTAACATAGTAAGACCTCCCCATGTATTAAAAAAAAAAAAAAAAAAGAAAGAAAGAAAAGAAAAAAGAAAAGAAAAAGCTAGGCATGGTGTCCGCACCTGTAGTAACAGCTACTCGAGATGCTGAGGTGGGAGGATCGCTTGAGCCCTGGTGGCAGAGGTTGCAGTGAGCCGAGATCGCTCCTCCCTGACTCAAAACAAAATTAAATTAAAAAAACATTTAGGCCGGGCGCTGTGGCTCAAGCCTGTAATCCCAGCACTTTGGGAGGCCGAGACGGGCAGATCACGAGGTCAGGAGATCGAGACCATCCTGGCTAACACGGTGAAACCCCGTCTCTACTAAAAAATACAAAAAACTAGCCGGGCGAGGTGGCGGGCGCCTGTAGTCCCAGCTACTCGGGAGGCTGAGGCAGGAGAATGGCGTGAACCTGGGAGGCGGAGCTTGAAGTGAGCTGAGATCCGGCCACTGCACTCCAGCCTGGGCAACAGAGCGAGACTCCGTCTCAAAAAAAAAAAACAAAAACAAAAAACAAAAGCATTTAATTGAAAGAGAAAAGTTTCTCTGTCAATTTTTTTTCTTTTTTCTTTCTTTTCTTTTTTTCTTTTTTTTTTTTTTCTTTTTCTGTCTTGTGATGGAGTCTTGTTCTGTTGCCCAGGCTGGAGTGCAGTGGCGCAATCTTGGCTTACTGCAACCTCTCCCTCCCAGGTTCAAGCAGTTCTCTGTCTCGGCCTCCCGAGTAGCTAGGACTACAGGCACAGGCCACCACGTCCTGCTAATTTTTGTATTTTTAGTAGAGACGAGGTTTCACCATGTTGGCCAGGAAGGTCTCGATCTCTTGACCTTGTGATGCACCCGCCTCGGCCTTCCAAAGTGCTGGGATTATAGACGTGCACCACCCCGCCCGGCCTCTTTTTCTTTTTTGAGACAGAGTCTCGCTCTGTAGTCCAGGCTGGAATGAAGTGGCACGTCTCGGCTCACTGCAACCTCCGCCTCCCGAGTTCAAGTGATTCTCCAGCCTTAGCCTCCCCAGTAGCTGGGATTACAGGTGCCGGCCACCACGCCCAGCTAATCTTTGTATTTTTTAGTAGAGACGGGGTTTCGCCTTGTTGGCCAGGCTGGTCTTAAACTCCTGACCTCAGGTGATCCGCCCACCTCGGCCTCCCAGATTGCTGGGATTACAGGTGTGAGTCACTGTGCCCAACCAACACACACACACATATATATGTGTGGTGTGTGTGTGTGTATATATATATATAATTTATATATATTGCTGGGTTGCCCATGCTGGTCTCAAACTCCTGAGACCTGCCCGCCTCGGCCTCTCGGATGCTGAGGTTACAGGCGTGAGCCACCGCGCCCCGCCCTACCTCATCTTCTTAAGACAGGGTCACGGATTGCCCTGGAGGGTTAGAAACTTCGAGACTTTTGTAGCATCAGTAAAGGCCGCGGCCAGCCTCTTCGCGGCATGGGCGTGGCTCGCAGCGACTTCCCAGCCTGGGGTTCCGCTTCGGCTCGCAGACACTGTGTGCCCGCCAGTAGTGGTAGGTTTCCAACAGCTATTGCTGGCTCTTCCTCTTGCGGCCTTTTCTTGAAACGGATTCTTCTTTCCGGGAACAGAAAGCGCCAGCCATGCAGCCTCGGCAAGGAAAGGCCACGCGGAGAGCTTCCGAGGCCGGAGCCACTGTCCCCGAGGCTTCCGCGCGGAGTGCCAGGGGGGCCCGGACCGACCGCAACGAGTCTCCGGCTGCCCCCGAAGCCGCCCTGCCCGAGGCGGGAAAGTTCGGCCCCGCCAGGAAGCCGGGATCCGGGCAGAAGAAGAGCCCCCCGGACACCCAGGAGCGGTCGCCCGTCCGCGCAACTGGGGCCCGCGCTAAAAAGGCCCCTCAGCGCGCCCAGGACGCGCGGCCCTCTGACTCCACCAGCGCCGCTGGGGCGGAGGGGCTGGAGCCTCCTGCGGCTCGGGAACCGGCTGTTTCCAGGGCTGGTTCTCGCCGCCAGAGGGGCGCGCGCGGCTCTCCGAAGCCAAGACCCCTGCCCGGGCCCCGGGACGTGCCCAACCCCGGCCTGCCGGTCTCGGTCCCCATTCTGGTACAGAGGGATGCGGCGCCTGGGGCCAGGAAGCTCCGGGCGGTTTTGGAGAAGTTAAGGCTCAGCCACCAGGACATCTCCAAGGCGGCGAAGGTGGTGAATGGGGTTGTGGGCCACCTGCTGCGCAGATTGAAGTGCGAGCCCGAGTTCGGAGGCGTCGAGCAGCTGCACACCGGGAGCTACTACGAGCACGTGAAGGTGAGCTGCTTGGCGCCCGCCCGCGGGGCCCGGATGCTCAGCCTTCCCGAATCCGCAGTTCGCAGTCCCTACCTCCCCCGGGTCGCGCCCCTCACTTCCCTTCGGAAGTGACTTAGACTCTTGCATGTTTTTCGGTAGCCTGTTCTAAGTAAAACGACAAACCGTTCGTTTACTCATCTACACATCCAACGATCAGACAGCCAACCGGTACTGATTACTGGGTAATTTCAAGACAGTGTTCCCGGGGTAATTCAAATGTAGCGGTTTATTCATGCAAGCCGACATGTATCGAGTTTCCGTAACAGGGCGGTGTTTGATGGTGTGGACCTGAGGTCCCAAGTGAGATATTGACTTGGATAATTTGAAGTGGTCTGTTAAAAATTCCACGTAGACTTTTTCCTATGAGAAAGACCTCTTACTCCATAGAAAAAAATACCTTCAATTTCTCTCCCCCTCTTCCTCCCTGCCCTCTCCTGCTGTCCCGTCTATCCCCAATTTCTTATACAGAAATCTTGGGAAGCTCACAGTGTAATGTTAAACAAACAAATACGAATATTCCCTACAGATACTAAAAACTATGCTTTCTAGATACACATTCCGTATAATTGCTTAGACGTGTGTATTACACAGCTCCATTTGTTTGTGGGTGATTGAGTCATTAATGGTTTCTGTGTAAATCGAAAGTTTAGAAGCAAGTTCCTGACTGGAGCGTGTTTCCTGCCCAGCAACAGATTTCTTTCTTTTTCTTTCTTTTTTTGAGACGGAGTTTCGCTCTTATTATCCAGGCTGGAGTGCAGTGGCGTGATCTTGGCTCACTGCAACCTCCGCCTCCCAGGTTCAAGCGATTCTCCTGCCTCAGCCTCCTGAGTAGCTGGGATTACAGGCATGAGCCTCCACGCCTGGCTAATTTTGTATTTTTAATAGAGATGGGCTTTCTCCATGTTGGTCAGGCTGGTCTCGAACTCCCGACCTCAGGTGATCCGCCAGCTTCAGCCTCCCAAAGTGCTGGGAGTACAGGTGTGAGCCACCGTGCCCGACTTCTTTTCTATTATTTTCTTTTCTCTTCTTTTCTCTTTTCTTCTCTTTCCCTCCCTCCCTCCCTTCCATCCTTTCTCTTTCGTTCTTTCTTTTCTTTCTTTTTTTTCTTTTTTTGACAGAGTTTCACGCTTGTTGCCCAGTCTGTAGTGCAGTGGTGCCATCTAGGTTTCACTGGCACCTCTGGCTCCCGGGTTCAAGCGATTATCCTGCTTCAGCCTCCCAAGTAGCAGGGATTACAGGCACCTGCCACCACTTCCGGATAATTTTTGTATTTTTAGTAGAGACGGGGTTTCACCATGTTAGCCAGGCTGGTCTCAAACTCTGACCTCAGATGATCCACCCGCCTCGGACTCCCCAAGTGCTGGGAGTACAGGCTTGAGCCACCGCGCCCGGCCCAGACTATGTCTTGAGCATGATACTTTTCAATTAACTATTTTACTTTTCAGCATCAGATGTCTCTGATTGAGCATGATTCTTATTACGTGCGTATCAATTCAGTTCAATTACTATATATGGCGGGTCCAAAGGAAAAAGAAAATTACCAGTTAGAATTAGAGAACAAGACATTCAGAAGACAGTCTCCATTCAGAACCACTTTGTGTGTGTGGGGGGGGGTTTTTTGTTTGTTTGTTTGTTTTGGTTTGGTTTTTTTTTTTTGAGACGGAGTCTCACTCTGTTGCCCAGGCTGGAGTGCAGTGGTGCCATCTCGGCCCACTGCAAGCTCCGCCTACTGGGTTCACACCATTCTCCTGCGTCAGCCTCCCGAGTAGCTGGGACTACAGGCACCCGCCACTATGCCCGGCTAATTTTTGTATTTTTAGTAGAGAAGGAGTTTCACAGTGTTAGCCAGGCAGGTCTCTATCTCCTGACCTCGTGATGCACCCGCCTCAGTCTCCCAAAGTGCTGGGATTACAGGCCTGAGCCACCATGTCCGGCCCAGAACCACTTTGTTTTTAAAAATTATGCCAATGAAAAGAAATCCAGTGAAATTTGTTTAATCTAAAACTTTTTCTTTTTCTTTTTTTTTTTTTTTGAGATGGAGTCTTTCTGTCACCCAGGGTGGAGTGGAATAATGTGATCTTGGCTCACTGTAACCTCCGCCTCCTGGGTTCAAGTGAGTCTCCTGCCTCAGCCTCCTGAGTAACTGGGATTATAGTCAGGTGAGTCAGGTGTCACCTCACCGGGCTAATTTTGTATTTTTAGTAGAGACAAGATTTCAGCATGTTGGCCAGGCTTGAACTTCTGACCTCGATCCACCTGCATCAGCCTTTCAAAGTGCTGGGATTACAGGCATGAGCCACCGCACCTGGCCTAAAACTTTTTCTGTTACTGATCATGAGATATACGTGGGCCAGGTACAGTGGGCTCATGCCTGTGATCCTAGCATAATGGGAGGCTGAGGCGGGAGGAACTTGAGGCCAGGAGTTTGAGTCCAGCCTGGGCAACATAGTGAGACCCCAGCTCTACCAAAAATAAGTTAAAAATTAGCTGGATGTGGTGGCACACATCTGCAGTCCCAGCTACCTGGGAGACTGAAATGGAAGGGTCATTTGATCTCAGGAGGTCAAGGCTGCAGTGAGGCCTGCTCACATCACTGCACTCCAGCCTGGGCAACAGCGAGATGCTGTCTGAGTGAATGAATGAATGAGATATATGTGTTTCTTGTAGAGCTGACCCACTGTTCATCCACCAGCAGGCTTGTACAGTTCATTAGCTCCCCTCCTCCTTACCCCTCTCCTCAGCCTCTCCCATATTCTCATTTGTCCCATATTTTATTTTATTTTTATTTTATTTTATTTTATTTTATTGTGAGATGGTGTCTTCCTCTGTCACCCAGGCTGGAGTGCAGTGGCATGATCTTGGCTGACTGAAACCTCTGCATCCTGGGTTTAAGCAATTCTCCTTCCTCAACCTCCCAAGTAGCTGGGATTACAAGCTTGATTAACCATGCCCAGTTAATTTTTGTATTTTTAGTAGAGACGGGGTTTCACTATGTTGGCCAGGTTGGTCTCGAACTCCTGACCTCATGTGATCCGCTTGCCTCGGCCTCCCAAAGTGCTGGGATTATAGGTATGAGCCACGGTGCCCTGCTTCTTGTTCCATATTGATGCTCTAGGAAAGTCAGAAAAGCCTATAGAAGAAAATATTGCTCCTATTTTATTTACTGTTATCATTTTGATGTATTTTCTTCTTTTACACATACACTTGGATCTGTTATATTTATATTTGCATTTCAAAATTGGATTCCAAGTTCTTTTTTATGAGTCAAAGGATAGACAAAATATACTTCTCAGTAATTTATTTACATAGTTCCATATTGACACATTTCTCATTCATATATTTTATTGTAGTTTATCAAATTCTAGGTTAAAAAAAATCTTGAAAATATGTGGGAAGTTTCTTGTAGAAATTCCCTGTAGAATTGTTAGTCCATATGTTCTTTTTGTTCTAAGTGTTAATGTACTATTTATATACTTTGGACTGAGTGAAAAGGTTACATGGAAATCAATTAATTTTAGTGTTTGTTTGTTTTTGTTTTGTTTTGTTTGGAGACAGAGTTTCATTCTTGTCACCTGGGCTGGAGTGCAATGGCTTGGGTGGCCTCAGCTCACTGCAACCTCTACCTCCCAGGTTCAAGCGATCCTCCTGCCTCAGCCTCCTGAGTAGCTGGGATTACAGGCATGCACCACCATGCCTGGCTAACTTTTTGTATTTTTAATAGAGATGGGGTTGCTCCATGTTGGTAAGACTGGTCTCGAACTCGACCTCATGTGATCCACCCGCGTCGGCCTCCCAAAGTACTGGGATTACAGGCGTGAGCCATCACGCCCGGCCAGTGGTTTTAAGTAATGGTATATTAACTGGTAAAGAATACGAACAAACTACAGCAACATGAACAGTGAAAATGAATTACGTAAATAATGTTGAACAACAACAACAAAAAGAACGTAAAGGAATACATACAGCTGATGCAGCAAGATAAGGAAAATAAAGGCATAGGATTGGAAAAGGAGTGATGAAATCGTTATGTGTAGATGACTTGATTGGCTTCATTTATAAACTGTTGGAAATAATTAGTAAATTAGCAAAATTGCTGGTTGCAAAGTCAATAAACAAAGATAAAAATATTTCAATATACTAACAAGGTTAAAAACAAAATGAAAATACTATTTAGAATATCATCAAAAATATCAAAGCTAGGTCCATTGGTGCATTCTGATAGTCCCAGCTATTTGGGAGGCTGAGGTAGGAGAATCACATCAGGCCAGGAGTTTGAGGCTGCAGTGCACTGTGATCTATCTGTGAGTAGCCACTGTACTCCAGCCTAGAGACCCCATCTCTAACAAATAAAAATTGAAAACTTTGGCCAGGCATGGTGGCTCACGCCTGTAATCCCAGCACTTTGGGAGGTAGAGGCAGGCAGATCGCTTGAGGTCAGGAGTTTGAGACCAGCCTGGTCAACATGGCAAAACCCTGTCTCTACTAAAAATACAAAAATTAGGCCGGGCGCGGTGGCTCAAGCCTGTAATCCCAGCACTTTGGGAGGCCGAGACGGGCAGATCACAAGGTCAGGAGATCGAGACTATCCTGGCTAATCCGGTGAAATCCCGTCTCTACTAAAAAATACAAAAAACTAGCCGGGCGTGATGGCGGGCGCCTGTAGTCCCAGCTACTCCAGGAGGCTGAGGCAGGAGAATGGCGTAAACCCGGGAGGCAGAGCTTGCAGTGAGCTGAGATCCGGCCACTGCACTCCAGCCTGGGCGACAGAGCAAGACTCCGTCTCAAAAAAAAAAAAAAAAAAAGAAAATTAGCTGGGCATGGTGGCATACGCCTGTATTCCCAGCTACTGGGGAGGCTGATGCAGGAGAATTGCTTGAGCCCAGGAAGCAGAGGTTGCCGCGAGCCAAGATTGCTCCATTGCACTTCAGCCTCTGTGACAAGAGTGAAACTGTCTCAAAAACAAACAAACAAAAATGGAAAACTTGAAAAACAATTTAAAAATCAAATATTTAGGAATAAATCTCACTAAAGATATTCAAAACTTAAAAACATAACTGGGTAAATTTGAAGAGGAAGTAATTGACAACTATGTCATGTTCATTTTTCCTCAAATTGATCTGGATTTAATGCAATCTCAGTCGAAATCTCATCAGTTTTTTAATTAAATTGACAAACTGATTAAAATATTTATTTATTTATTTATTTATTGAGACAGAGTCTTGCACTGTCACCCAGGCTAGAGTGCAGTGGCGCAATCTCGGCTCACTGTAAGCTCCGCCTGCTGGGTTCATGCCATTCTCCTGCCTCAGCCTCCCAAGTAGCTGGGACTACAGGCGCCTGCCACCACTCCCAGCTAATTTTTTGTATTTTTAGTAGAGACGGGGTTTCAGATTTATTTATTTTTTTATTTTTATTTTTATTTTGAGACAGAGTTTCACTCTTTTGCCCAGGCTGGAGTGAAGTGGCTCGATTTCGGCTCACTGCAACCTCCTTCTCCCGGGTTCAAACAATTCTCTTGCCTCAGCCTCCCGAGTAGCTGGGATTATAGGCGCCCGCCACCACACCCAGTTAATGTTTGTATTTTTAGTAGAGACGGGGTTTCACCACTTTGGCCAGGCTAGTCTCAAACTCCTAACCTCAGGTAATCTGCCCGCCTCAGCCTCCTAAAGTGCTGGGATTACAGGTGTGAGCCACTGTGCCCAGCCTGATTAAAAGATTTATATGGAAGTGCAATGAACCTAGAATAGTTTAGGAAATTGTACGGGAAAAAAATGTTGGAAGATTTACTCTACCAAAGAGCAAGACTTACCATAAAGCAGCCTAATTAAGCAGGTGTTATTGATGCAGTGATAGAAAAATAGGCCAACTGAGGCCGGGCGCGGTGGCTCAAGTCTGTATTCCCAGCACTTTGGGAGGTCGAGACAGGCGGATCACGAGGTCAGGAGATCGAGACCATCCTGGCTAACACGGGGAAACCCGGTCTCTACTGAAAAATACAAAAAACTAGCCGGGCGAAGTGGTGGGTGCCTGTAGTCCCAGCTACTCGGGAGGCTGAGGCAGGAGAATGGCATGAACCCGGGAGACGGAGCTTGCAGTGAGCTGAGATCCGGCCGCTGCACTCCAGCCTGGGTGACAGAGCGAGACTCCATCTCAGAAAAAAAAAAAAAGAAAAATAGGCCAATTGAATAGAAAGTTCAGAAAGAATCCTGCACATATAATTCAATATAGTACACAAAATATGCAGCAATGTAATTCAGTAGGAGAAAGGTTTGTTTTTTTTTTTTTTGAGACAGAGTCTTGTTCTGTCACCCAGATTGGAGTACAGTCGCACCATCTTGGCTCACTGAAACCTCTGCCTCCCGAGTTCAAGCAATTCTCCTGCCTCAGCCTTCTGAGTAGCTGGAACTATAGGCACACACCACCACATCCAGCTAATTTTCATATTTTTAATAGAGACGAGGTTTCACCATGTTGGCCAGGATGGTCTCGATCACTTGACCTTGTGATTCGCCTGCCTCAGCCTCACAAAGTGCTGGGATTACAAGCGTGAGCCACTGTGCCTGGCTGAATAGATGATTTTTTTTTTCTTTCAATGAATAATGCTGGGTCAATTGGGTATCTATATAGGAAAAACATGAACCTTGATTCCCTGCCACATATCATACACGAAAGTTAATTATAGGTGTGAGCCACTGCAGCTGGCCTAAAATCATTTTTAGTTATAAAAATAATGCTAGGTCATGGTAAAAAAAATCGAGTGTAGATCCTACAAAATGAAACAGGTAATACTCTTCCGCCTCCTGCCAGCTCCAGTAGTCCCACTCCCAGAGGGAATATATAGACATTATGAATCTTGCTTTTTAAAGTAAAGTTTTAAGTGGAACTTAAAACTTCCAGTCACTTGGAAAACATTCATAAGCAAATATTTCAGTGCTATTTTTACTGTTTCTTAGATTTCTGCACCTAATGAATTCGATGTCATGTTTAAACTGCAAGTCCCCAGAATTCAGCTAGAAGAATATTCTGACACTGGTGCATATTACTTTGTGAAATTTAAAAGAAATCCAGAAGGAAATCCTCTGAGCCTGTTTTTAGAAGATGAAATATTATCAGCTTCTAAGATGCTGTCAAAGTTTAGGAAAATCATTAAGGAAGAAATTAACAACATTAAAGGTAAGATTTTTGCCTTTTGATTCTTAAAGGTTTAATTATACCTAGTAATTGCCAATGTGCACTCACCTCCTCATGTTTCTTGACCTCTCTGCAGTAAGAAAAAGGGCAGTAGTGAGGTCAAGAAACATCAGTAGAGGAGTGTACATTGGCAATTACTAGGTATGACTATTCTCTCCTTCTAGAAACAACACTCTGCTTTTCATTTAGTCTGCTGCTTGTGCCACTGGGTAAATGCGCCTGCATAAAATTGATGGGATCCTCTTTAAAGCTCGTAATCTAATAGTGTGAAAACATACAACACAAATTGCAGTGAGTGCTCTGAAGGGAATAAACTGGGAAAAGTGATAGCAATTAGGGTGGAATGGGGTGGTAGAGCCAAGCCCTGAGGCAGAAAAAAGAGCTTGGCAAGATCTAGGAACAAAAAGAGGCTCTTGCAGAAAAGATGAAGTGACATGAAATGAAGCTAAAGAGGAGGCCAGGGACCAGATTCTCTACTGACTTGTAGACCCGGAAAAGGAGTTTAGATTTTGTTTTATTTTATTTTTGAGAAGGAGTCTTGCTCTGTCGCCCAGGCTGGAGTGCAGTGGCACGATCTCGGCTCACTGCAACCTCTGCCTCCCGGGTTCAAGCGATTCTCCTGCCTCAGCCTCCCGAGTAGGGGGGATTACAGGCACCCACCACCACGCCTGGCTAATTTTTGTGTTTTTAGTATAGATGGGGTTTTACTATCTTAGCCAGGCTGGTCTTGAACTCCTGACCTCATGATACACCCGCCTCAGCTTCCCAAAGTGCTGGGATTACAGGTGTGAGCCACTATGCCTGGCCAGATTTTATTTTATTTTATTTTATTTATTTTTATTTTATTTTATTTTGAGATGGAGTTTCACTCTTGTCACTTAGGCTGGAGTGCAATGGCCCTGATCTCGGCTTACCTCAACCTCCGCCTCCCAGGTTTAAGCAATTCTCCTGCCTCAGCCTCCCAAGTAGCTGGGATTACAGGCGTGTGCACCACGCCCGGATAATTTTTGTGTTTTTAGTAGAGATGGGATTTCTCCATGTTGGCCAGGCTGGTCTCAAACTCCTGACCTCGGGTGATCCACCCACCTCAGCCTCCCAAAGTTCTGGGATTACAGGAGTGAGCCACCGCGCCCAGCACCAGGTTTCATTATCTGATCATTGAGAAGCCAGGTTTTCATCAGAGAGTAATGACTGGCTTTGTATTTTTAAACATTTACTCTGGCTTCTGAGGATAGATTTTATAAGAAGGCAAATAGGAAGATTAGAAAGGAAAATGATGAAATAGTTCAGGTAAAAGATGGTGGCAGCTTAGATGGGGTGGGAGTAGGGTGCTGGGATTGGAGCAGCAGACAGGTCCAAGCTGTAGCAGCACTTGCAGCTGGATTAAGCATAGTGGGTAAGAGAGAGGATTAAATTAAGATGGTTCCCAGGTTTCTGGATGGTGCATCTGGGTGGATTGATTGTGCCATTTTCTGAGATGGGAAGGACTGAGGCAAAACATACTTTGGTATATGAATTAAGTTATGTTTATTGGCTTTGGATATGTTTGGTTGTAGATTCCTGTGGTACATCAACATCAAAGTGGATGTGTTAAGTTTGTAGCTGGATATAGGTTTGGAGTGCAAAGGATACCTTTGGGCTGCAAGTAAACATTTGGGAGTCATCATCATATAGGTGGCTTTGGGAATGGATGAAATACCTAGGCAGAAAGTGTAAATTCATACATCCATTAATTTAATCAATATTCATCGATAATCTAACGTGTAGGTGTTCTAGTTATTTAGGATTCATTAGTGAACAATTAGATGAAGACCTCTACCCTTCTGTACTTTATAATCTTGCAAGCACAGGCATACAATTAATAACAAATGGAAAAAATGATTATCTTGTATACTAGAAAGTAGTAAGTGCTGTTGTGAAGAAGTATAGCAAAGTGAGAGGGATCAGGAATGTGGGAGATGGAGGTCGGGGGGAAGTTGCAATGTTAAGTAGAGTGGTAAGAAGAGAATTCCATTAGAGTTTGGGAAGAAGAGAATGAGCAAAAGGGGAATATGAATGTTTTGTAGAAGGAGCAGTCAGTGTTTGGAATGCTACTGACATCCAGAAATCCACTGGATTTGGTCTTTGGTCTTGTGGGGTTCTTTGGTCTTCTGGGGTTGACAAGAGAAATGTCAGTGGGGTGATGGATATGGAGTGAAAGGCAGGGTTGCAGTGGAGATAACATGTGTAGGCCACTCTAGAAAGTTCTGACTGGGCTGAGTGTGGTGTCTCAGCACTTTGGGAGGCCAAGGCAGAAGGATCGCTTGAGCCCAGGAGTTAAAGACCAGCCTGGGCAACAAAGTGAGAGTCCATCTCTACAAAAAAAATTTTTAGGCCAGCCGTGGTGGCTCACGCCTGTAATCCCAACACTCTGTGAGGCTGAGGTGGGCGGATCACAAGATAAGGAGTTCGAGACCAGCCTGGCTAAGATGATGAAACCCTGTCTCTACTAAAACTACAAAAATTAGCCAGGCATGTTGGCACACACCTGTAATCCTAGCTACTCAGGAAGTTGAGGCAAGAGAATTGCTTAAGCCCAGGAGGCGGAGGTTGCAGTGAGCTGAGATTGCGCCACTGCACTTCAGTCTGGGCGACAGAGCAAGACTCTGTCTCAGAAAAAAAAGAAAAACAACGTTTTTTAATTAGCCAGGGGTGGTGGCATGTGCCTGTGGTCCCAGCTACATACAATGCTGAGGCAAGAGGATTGCTTGAGCCTAGGAGATTGAGGCTGCAGTGAGCCATGTTCATGCTACTGCACTCCAGCCTGGGTGACAGAATGGGACCCTGTCTCAAAAAAAAAAAAAAAAAAAAAGTTTGGGCTGGAAGGAAGCAGAAGATGGGTGAGTGAAGGGGTGGCCTGCCCCTCCACACCTGTGGGTGTTTCTCGTTAGGTGGAACAAGAGACTTGAGAAAAGAAATAAGACACAGAGACAAAGTATAGAGAAAGAAAAGCGGGGGCCCGGCGCTCAGCTTACAGAGGACCCCGGCACCGGTCTCTGAGTTCCCTTAGTATTTATTGATAATTATCTTTACCATCTTAAAGATAAGGGAGTGGCAGGACAATAGGATCATTGTAGGGAGGAAATCGGCAGTAAGACATATGAACAAAAACCTCTGTGACATGAATAAGTTTAAAGGAAAATGCTGTGCCTTGAGATGCATATGCAAACATCTCCATAAACCTTTTAGCATTATTTCAGCCTATCACATGGGGAGAAACCTTGGACAACACCTAGCTTTCCTAGGCAGAGGTCCCTGCGACCCTTGGCCGTGTACGTGTCCCTGGGTAGTTGAAATTAAGAGAATGGTGATGACTTTTAACCAGCAAGCTGCCTTCAGGCACTTGTTTAACAAAGACACATCCTGCACAACCCAAAATCCATTAAACCTTGAGTCACTGCAGCACATGTCTCTTGCAAGGACAAGGTTGGGGGTAGGGTCACAGATTAACAGCATCTCAAATACAGAACAAAATGGAGTCTCTTACGTCTGCTTCTTTCTATATAGACACAGTAACAGGCTGATCTCTTTCTTTTCCCCACAGGTGAGTATGGAGAGGAGGAAGATATGGGGTGAAAGGAGAGGTATACCCTGTAACCCTCTGTATGAATTTCAGAATAATCTAGCAGGGAGGGAGAGGTTGCTGATGTAGGAGAGGGAATAGTTGAAGAGCATGGTACTTGAGAAGTTGAGAAGGAAGGGATCCAGAGACCATGTGCAGAGGTGGCCTTTGAAAGGTAGATGGAGGGCCAGGTATGGTGGCTCACACCTGTAATCCCAACACTTTGGGAGGCCAAGGCAGGCAGATCATTTGAGCTCAAGAGTTCAAGACAGGCCGGGCGCGGTGGCTCACGCCTGTAATCTCAGCACTTTGGGAGGCCAAGGCAGGCGGATCACAGGGTCAGGAGATCGAGACCACGGTGAAACCCCGTCTCTACTAAAAATACAAAAAATTAGCCGGGCGTGGTGGCGGGCGCCTGTAGTCCCAGCTACTCAGGAGGCTGAGGCAGGAGAATGACGGGAACCCAGGAGGCAGAGCTTGCAGTGAGCCGAGATCGCGCCACTGCAGCTCCAGCCTGGGCGACAGATTAAGATTATATCTCAAAAAAAAAAAAAAAAAAGGAAAAGAGTTCAAGACCAGCCTGGCCAACATGGTAAAACCCCATCTCTACTAAAAATACAAAAATTAGCCAGGTGTGGTGGTGCTTGCCTGTAATCCCAGCTACTCAGGAGGCTGAGGCAGGAGAATCACTTGAACCTGGGAGGTGGAGGTTGCAGTGAGCTGAGATCACACCACTGTACTCCATCCAGCCTGGGCTACAGAGCCAGACTTTGTCTCAAAAAAAGTAAGGTAGATGGACACTTACTTCCTCAGTGGTAACAGGAGAGGTGGCCAGATTTGGGTAACAGGTGGCCAGGTTTGCAGATTTTTCTAGTGTTTTCTCCTTTGTGTTCTACTTCCTCACTGTGGAAGTCTTATCTGAGAGTAGTAGTCTTTACTGCTTATATACCCCCAACTCCCAAAGCCATCTACATTTCTGACCATAGCCACCAACCCAGCAACCATCCCCACTTGAGTGTCCCATAGGTATCTAGAGCTCATTGTATCTCATGAAGTTCAGCTTGGCCCAATCTTTTTTCTTCCTGCTTATTCTGTTTTGGGGAATGGAACCAACATCAGTCACTTCCTAGGCCAAGATCCTGGGATGGCATCCCAAGGCTCCTACTTTTCTCCTCACATCATACTCAACTCATGACCGGTTATGTTGATTTGTACTTCTTTAGTTGCTCTCATTTCTTCTCCCGTGTCTTGATGCTCACTGCCTTTGTGCTGCCATGGCACCCAGCCTCTGTGCCAGGCTGTTGCTGTGGTTTTTTTGCTGCCTGTCTCTTCCCTCTTGCCCATCTGGCCTCTTCTCTAGGCTTCCCTCCATTCTGCCATCTATAATTTGTAATGAAAATTTAACGAGGCACTTTGGCACATGCCTGTAATCCCAGCTACTCAGGAGGCTGAGGCAGGAGGATTGCTTGAGCCCGGGAGGCAGAAGTTGCAGTGAGCCAAGATTGTGCCATTGCACTCCAGCCTGGGCAACAAGACAACAAGAGCGAAACTCCGTCTCAAAAAAAAGAAAAGAAAAGAAAATTTAATCACAGCACTCTTAAACCTCAAAGTCTACAGAGACCCCCTCATCATAGATGCCCCACACCATCTTGACAATGCCTCCTGATGGGAGATATCAGTAATTATTGTGTGGGTTTTTTTGTTTTTTTGTTTTTCTTTTTTGAGACATAATCTTAATCTGTCGACCAGGCTGGAGTGCAGTGGTGTGATCTCGGCTCATGGCAACCTCCGCCTCCTGGGTTCAAGTGATTCTCATGCCTCAACCTCCTGAGTAGCTGGGATTACAGGCATTCACCACCATGCCCAGCTAATTTTTGTATTTTTAGTAGAGATGAGGTTTCTGCATGTTGGTCAGGCTGGTCTCAAACTCCTGACCTCAAGTGATCATCCCATCTTGGCCTCCCAAAGTGCTGTGATTACAGGCGTGAGCCATCACGCCCAGCCAATATTGGTTTAGTAAAGCATTTTGCCTTTTAGAACCAGTTTCTGTTTTACCACCAATGTTTACTTTATACTTAGCACACCAGAGATCTTCAATTATAGTTATATTATTTCCCCTGTATTTCTAGAGAAAATTGGATTAATACTTTCTTTTCTTTTATATGTTCAACCAGATGCAGATGTCATCATGAAGAGGAAAAGACCAGGGAGCCCTGCTGTAACACTTCTTATTAATAAAGAAATATCTGTGGATATAACCCTGGCTTTGGAATTAAAAACTAGCTGGCCTGCCAGCACCCAAGAAGGCCTGGCCATTAAAAACTGGCTTTCAGCAAAAGTTAGGCAGCAACTAAGACTAAAGCCGTTTTACCTTGTACCCAAGCATGCAAAGGAAGGAAATGGTTTCCAAGGTATTTTAAATATTAAAGTTAACTTAAAGATGTAAAAGAGTTGTTAATGTTATATGTACAGGCAGCAGATCAACAGCCACCCAATGCTGTTGTCATGTCAAGACCATCAGGCGAAACAGGTTATAAGATGGGAGTCTGGTGACAGACAGAATTGAAAAGGGCACAGTTGTAGTATTAATATCAAATACTCAGCTTTGAAATGTCTAGCAATCCACATTTGAATTTTATCTTTTTTTATTTTTATTTTTTCAGTAAAAAAAGCAGTATTGGCCTTGGAGTCAGACTGCCCTGGTTCTGAATCCTGAGGCTCCTTCTAGTAGTTGTGTGACTTTGAGCTAGTTATGATGCTTTCTAAACCCAGTTGCTCATCTGTACACTGTGTTAAGCAAAACTACTTGAAAAGTTCTGCAATGATAAAATGTGCATGCAGTTCTGTGGCCAGTTTTGTTCATGCCAGTTATATGTTATTACATATTAATATTATCATTAGAGTCTAGACTCTCATTCTCAGCCCTGGTTCTCTCTTTCCTTCATCTTCCCATTCCACTGCTCCTATACAATGTGTCTCAGCCTCACAGATCAGGATGGGTTTTCAGGCTATGCTCTTGGATAAAACTCAACTTCCAAGAACCAGACTGAGTTGGTCTACAGCTAAAACTTTATAATGGTGATATTTTTGAAGGTAGAAGGAAGTAACTTTTTTTTTTTTTTTTCTGAGACAGAGTTTTGCTCTTGTTGCCCAGGCTGAAGTACAGTGGCACAATCTCAGCTCGCTGCAACCTCTGCCTCCTGGGTTAAAGCAATTCTCCTATCTCATTCTCCCAAGTAGCTGGGACTACAGACGCACACTACCATGCCTGGCTATTTTTTTGTATTTTTAGTAGAGACGGGGTTTCACCATGTTGGCCAGGCTGGTCTCGAACTCCTGGGAGTGGCTTTTTCCCTTGTGATTTAGTCTAAAAAAAAATGAAAGTAGCTGATTATTTTCATTTCCTCCCATAGATTTATGTAGGACTTTTGGCACCTACTACTACTGGATTCCAGGGAAATTGAAGGGGACTGTAAAACAAATGAGCCAAGTTATAAATGAGTATTGCTGAAAAAAGCCCAGAAATAGTCAATCATGCTTAGTTTAATGGTTTGTGTTTCTGTGGACACATATCATAACTTCATATATTGCATACATATAGGAATCATTTTCTGTAAGAAAAATAGTTTATGAAGGGAACTTACATATATCATTATTCATGTTTTTACAAAATGATTATAGCTTTCTGCAAAGAGGTTGTTCTGTAAACTGAACAATTTATAGAATAGCTGCCCCAATAAACCTTCACTGTAAGTGATACAGAAATCACAACAGGACCCCATACCATCTCTTGCTGACCCCACACTGTCCTGGGGAACACTGGAGGATAAATCACCTTAGAGATGAAGAAGAGTCCTTTGGTGGCCCTGTGGCCTATGTGGCTAGCAAGGTTTTTGTTTTGTTTTGTTTTGTTTTTGTTTTTCTTTTTTTAGACGGATTCTTGCTTTGTCGCCCAGGCTGGAGTGCAGTGGCGTGATCTCGGCTCACTGCAACCACCACCTCCCAGGTTCAAGCGATTCTCCTGCCTCAAACTCCCGAGTAGCTGGGACTACAGGCGCATGCCACCATGCCAGAATAATTTTTGTATTTTTAGTAGAGACAGGATTTCACCATGTTGGCCGGGATGGTCTCCATCTCTTTACCTTGTGATCCACCCGCCTCAGACTCCCAAAGTGCTGGGATTACAGGCGTGAGCCACCATGCCCGGCCATGGTTAGGGAGTTCTTTGCATTCTTCCATTAAGATGAAAGAAAGTGAAGGCTGGTGCTGGATGCTTAGCTTCACTTCTGCTTTCTGTTACCCTTGGCTGTTCTGCATCTCCCATCATTCCAGATTATGTATAATTAGACAAAACTCTGCTTCTGTGTACGTGTGTGAGTGTATGTGAACAGAGGGACTTAGTGAAAATACTTGTACTAGATTGGAGACACTTATAACACCTGCTGTATCTTTTCTTTCTCTATACATTCTACTAGAAATTCCCTGGTCTCACAAATTATATTTTTAAAAATATTATGTTTTTGTTTTTATTTATTTTTATTTGTTTATTTTTTGAGACAATCTCGCTGTGTCGCCCAGGCTGGAGTGCAGTGGTGCAATCTCGGCTCACTGCAACCTCCACCTCCTGGGTTCAAACGATTCTCCCACCTCAGTATCTCAAGTAGCTGGCACTACAGGTGCGTGCCACCATGCCCAGCTACTTTTTTGTATTTTTAGTAGAGACTGGGTTTCACCATGTTGGCCAGGCTGATCTCGAACTCCTGACTTCAGGTGATCCACCCATCTCCATCTCCCAAAGTGCTGGGATTACAGGCATGAGCCACCGTGCCTGGCCTTGTTTTTATTGATTTTTTATTAAAAATTTCAAATTTTAAAAATCTACCTGTTTCAAAATACCAGTTGTATTACCAAGGATATAATTTATTTAAAAAACAGTTTATGATTTACTTGCAGTTTTTTTGTTCTTAAGATAAAAGGACAGTAAAATTTGAGATTTTTTTTTTTTTTTTTTTTTGAGCGGAGTTGCTTTGTCGCCAGCTGGAGTAGTGGCTGGATCTCCACTGCAAGCTCCCCTGTTACGCATTCTCCCCCACTCCGAGTACTGGGACTACAGACGTCGCACCTGCCGGTATTTTTTTTTTTTTTTATAGACGGGTTTCACCGGTTGCCAGTGGCTCGATCTCCTGCCTCGTATCCGCCGCTGCTCCAAGGGAAGTTGAGCGCCCGGAAGGATTTGCCTATGTAGCCAGGCGGACCAGCTGTGTCTGTAAGTGAGGGGATTGCCAGGCGGCTGTAGTGAGCTATGATCATGCCACTGCACTCCATCCTGGGTAACATAGCAAGACGTCCTCTATACCCCACCCACCAAAAAAAAAAAAAATGTCTCTGGACAGTTTAACTCAACGTAGGCAAATTAACTTGTTTCATTATGTTATCTGTTTTTAGATACTGGTTTTTAAATTTTGATTTAATTTGTTTCATACATTTATAAAGTATATACATGGTTCTACAGTCAAAGCTGTGGAAAAAGGTACAATTAGAGAAACATCTTCTGTTCATGTCCTCTCCATGCTCTTCTCTCCTTCCCTGATTAGAAACCTTTCTAATTGTTTTTAGTTTACCCTTCCATGGTTTTTAAATTTTATTTATTTATTTATTTATTTATTTATTTATTTCGAGGTGGAGTCTCTTTCTGTTGCCCAGGCTGGAGTGCAGTGGGGTGATCTTGGCTCGCTGCAGTCTCTTCTTCCCAGGTTTAAGTGATTCTCCTGCCTCAGCCTCCCAGAGTAGATGAGATTACAGGTGTGCACCACCATGCCTGGCTAATTTTTGTGTTTTTAGTAGAGATGAGGTTTCACCACATTGGCCAGGCTGGTCTTGAACTCCTGACCTCAGGTGGTCCACTCACCTTGGCCTCCAAAGTACTGAGATTATAGGCGTGAGCCACCGCGCCTAGCCTTCCGGTTTTAAAAGTGTAAGTAAATATATTCTCTCTCTCTCACTCAGTCATGTAATGGCTCAAACCTATAATCCCAGTACTTTGGGAGGCTGAAGCAGGTGGATCACTTGAGCTCAGGAGTTCGAGACCAGCGTGGGCAACATGGTGAAAGTCTGTCTCTACTAAAATACAAAAATTAGCCAAGTGTGGTGGTGCATGCCTGTAGTCCCAACTATTCAAGAGGCTGATGGGGGGGGGAATCACTTGAGCCCTGGAGTTTGAGGCTGCAGTGAGCCAAGATGGTGCCACTGCACTCCAACCTGGGCAACAGAGTGAGACCCTGTCTCAAAAACAAAGAAAAAGTTGTGCCTTTTATTTTAAAAAGGGAGTAGCATATAAATGTGTATACAGTATATAATATAAATTATATACAATGTTTTATATTATGTAAGGCATATTGCATATAAATTATACATATTACATATAAATACTTATGTAAATATATATTGATATAAATATATTTAATACATATTTTTAAGATAAAGACAGGTAAAAACTAAGGAAATCTGGATAAAGTATAAACTTTAGTTAACAATAATGTATCAATACTGGTTTATTGTACCAATGTATTTTACGAATATGGGATGTTAATAATAGGGAAATGGGGGTGCAGTGGCATGTGCTTATAGTCCTAGTTTCCTCAACCTTTGGGAGGCTGAGGCAGGAGGATCATTGAGCCCAGGAGTTAGGGTTGTTCTGCTTGGAGCCGAACTCCTGGGTTCAAGTGATCCTCCCGTCTCAGCTTCCCACCTCCCAAGTAGCTGAGATTACAGGTGCACGACACTGTGCCCAGCTGGATATTTTTTCGAGTGGGTTTAAAACTTGGTATTTTGACTGTCCTTTTATCTTAAGAACAAAAAACTGCAAAAAAATTATAAGCTGTTTTTTATAAGTGTATTATTGGTAATAATACTGGTATTGAAAAAGGCAGATTAAACATGTAAATATTAGATAATATACTAATTTATATGTATATAAAATATATTTGTATGCCACCCCCTTTTTAAAATAAAAGGTACACCTTTTTTTTTTTTTTTTTTAAAGTAGACACAGAGTCTCGCTGTGTTGCCCAGGCTGGTCTCAAACTCCTGGCCTCAAGCAGTCCTCCCACTGTGGCCTCCTAAAGTGCTGGGATTATAGGCATGAGCCATCACAGCCAGGCCATACATTCTTCTTTTTAATTTAATTAATTTGGTTTATTTTTTTTAATTTTATAGAAGCCCTGCTCTCAGATATAACACGTTTTTACTTTTAACGAGATATTTTCGAGCTCACTCCATACCTCTCTATAGAGATAATACCCATTCCTTTTTAAAGTCTATTTTTGCTGCTAGTCAAAGAGTAAATCCTTATGTAATATTGCTAGGCATTTCCCAGATCTCCATAGGCATCATTCCAATTTGCTTTTCCACA